GAGAGAGAGAGAGAGAGAGAGAGAGAGAGAGAGAGAGAGAGAGAGAGCGTCGTATAGAGAAAAGGTGAATCGACCGGCGTTGATTTATGCTTGATTACATTTCCCGCGAGATCTGCCGGCGCGCATGCAGTTCTGCATAAGTGAATGCGCTTTGACGAGACGCTTGCGCGCCGCACGCCGCTCGCGCTCGCTTACTTTCGATTATTTCTGCGCCGTCATGAATGAGACGTCCGGTATTCGCGCCGGCTACTCGCGGTAGTAACGCTATTTAAAATGCCGAGACGTGAGATACATATTATTCGACGTGTTACTCACGAAGGTAGAAAGTGCTCCGTCGTGCGCGTGATGCATCGCGATGCGTATACGCCTGGAGAAGAAGGTGAATATATCGCGCGCACATTTCGCCGTTCACCTTTGCCGGTCTCTGACAGAAGGTGACGAGGGTTAAAAGGTGGAATTAGAGGGAGCCTTTCAACCGAAGGTCAAGCTCGCGGGCTAGCACGGTCCAACGTACATTTCTGCATGCGTGTACGCACGTGCGTAATGTACGTGCTCGCGCTATCGGGCCACCGATGCGCACGCTTCCGATCGCGATTAATCGATAAACGCGCTTCGTTTCGGTAGCGAGCGCGCGCGCGCTTCGATCGATCTCTGTATCTCGTAAAGCGGATATTAATCGTAGAGACGTATTTAATGGTTCGATGAAGCATGCTGGCATTATTCATCGTAGAGATATGTTTTCATTTTTAATAGTTCAGCATGATGTGCGCGTTTGTTTAACAGAAGAAATTGAACATCGAATGCTACTACTTGAATCGATAATACGTCGAATAATAATAAGTTTTATAATTAATTGTTTAACATTTTAGTATGTTTAATTGCGAATATTAATTAAGCTCTTAAGACACATCGTTTATTGAATAAAAATCAAAATTAATCACCAAGACCTTTTCTGTAGGGAAAGAAATAACTTTCTTTTTTAATCACATTTTCTTATCATAATAATCTACAACTTGTTAATAAAAAGATTTTACAAAATAGTAAGATAATAACAAATAATCTGATCTAAACTATAGAAAAGATTTTATATAATCACAAAATGATTTTATGAATTCAGTTATAAAATTGTCAGTTAATTTCCGACTCATCAAAAAGCAATTACTCGATCTTATTTGGGGACGAATGAATCTGGATGAATCACATCAAGATTCGTTCAGCTGTCGGTTTTGTATTGCTGACCCTATACATGATATTGGATTCAATTACTGATTTCTGCTAGTATTCAATTCAGCTGTCAAATTAACGTGCAAAAGGCTAAGAGATACTCTTGTTATCGCAGATGTGGTAGTAACAAGATCTTTCGTTCTGGTTTCAGGAACTAAAAAGCGTATCGACGATGTAGCATCACCAAGGACTATCCACGACTTACCGGATCACGTTCTCACATGTGGCCTGTCACTTCCCGGTAAGTATTGAAAAAAAAATACTTAAAAAACGTTATACAACAAAAATAATTTTAATCATAACTATTTGACAAGAGTATTAGACTCGTAATATAGAGTGTCGAAACTCGTTAAGATAACGAAAGAATTTGAAACGATGGTTTCAATGTTTTTATAACTGTATACTTTTTAGATTATTGCTAAATATCTATCTGGAATCTATACGTTCTAGATTGTTTAAGGAGATCTCGTTTAAGTAATGAAATAACGTAGATCTCCATGTTTGAATACTTTTAGTGTGATGGTCGACTGCGCTTTTATCGTAAGCCTTTGTCTCGTATGTGAAGCAACCGGCAGAAACGTACGCTTTATACCGCACACGCGACTCCGCGTTGCTTCTCGCGTCGCGTTGCGGAAGATAACAACAACGCGGTGACCGCGAAGGAGTATGCGGAAGCTGGGACACACCCATCCACCACGTAGGGTTTCTTAGGCCTGGGTTCACACGCCCCCGCATCTTCTGCCCATTCTGTGCATCTATTTACGTATTTCGTCGAGTACACCGGGCAGATACTTCCCCGGCAGGCCGTTTCTCTCCCTTCTACCGTGATTCCGCTTTGTCGAGCGGTTGCGCCATTCTCTCTTGGCCCGCTCTCTTTGCTCTTCGTTCCGCATTGTCCCTTTCTCTCCCTTTCCGCGAGAGGCTCAGCTGGCCGGATCCGCGGATATCTAACTGTATTTTCGTAGTTGGCGCAGTTGTTGCTCTCTGTCGTCGATTAGCTCACGGCAGGAAGAGGTAGTCGCTGGACGATAGCTGAAAGGAGACTGACCGAGGATTAACCCGGCGCTAGTGTTCGCGTCACGAAACACGCTTTGCCTTAAATTACCTTGGAAAATATATAATGATCGTTCAAGCCTTTAAACGGGCATATATATTTCGAGAACTCATGTCGGACAAAAATAATGTTCATGTAAAATATTTTTTCTATGATACGTGAACATTCGTACAACAACGGACATAAAAAGTGCGGAGATCAATTCCGAGATATAACCATTACTATCGAACGATAATACCCGAGTGTTCGATTTTCCTGGTACAGTAAATGTGGTTATCGTGGCGATGGTTATCTCGTCATTATCTCGTAATAATAAACTCGAAGTGATATTAATCTACTGGGATCGATTAAAAGCAATATGTAATATCTTTACGATACACACACGCGAAACGGGGAAATCACTTCATCGAACCTCGATTTGGATCGAGTAAAGTCGATATTTTTTTCAGCGTGTCCCGATATCGATTCATGTAACAGTCCCTCCTACGAAGCGGGGCGTCCTGCAACGGTAACCGGGTGAAAGGGAAAAGCGCGCTTGGCCGCTTTAATTGCAACCGAGTGTGGGATATGCGCGACTCTTTTGTGTCTCGATTAAGGAGGGACTCCCTGCAGCAACATTAACGTTAACTATCCACTTACTTGAACATGAGCTACACGCTCAGTTCGCACGCCTTCGTGTTCCTTGGTGTTCCTTGCGCGTCCATCCCATTTATATGGCTCCTCTTCTCGTAAAAGGGCCACAACGGTCCCTTCCGCCTCTCTCCGTTTCAATGAATGCACACACCTCTCTGTTTCTCTACGTCTCACACACATACCGTACACTCTTTCGTACGTCTACCATACACTCCTCTTCCCGCTACCTTTTCTTACCTCCCGGTATCACCTCCGTGTTCATGCTCCCTTCGCGTGCCTCCCGTATTCTCCCTCCCGTTCCTTTCTTCCGCCCGTCTTCGTGGCTCGCTCAGCTGGCCGGATCCACGTATGTCTAACTGTATCCCGTAGTTGGCGAAGCCTGCCGCTTTGTCGCCGATTAGCTGACTGGTGCGCGGGCAGGCTGAGAGACGATGGGCGACGAACTAATGGGCTCCGGCGTGCTTCGAACGGGAAAAATAAACGGTAAGAAACGCGCCGCCAGTTGTTAGTTTTAATTACAGTAAAACGCACGCGGCGCTTCTTACGGGACTGAACACGATCCGCGCGAGAGACCCTTAGAGGTGGATTGCCCTTTCGTAGCCAAGTAAAAGCGAATGTACACGGTTTACTTTGAATGATCGTTCCCGATGACTCATGAAAAGCGAACGCGGTGAACGAGTAAATTTTTGTCTAAATGAATAGAGAAACGAATTATATCAACACAGTTATATAATTTTTCAATATAATTTTCTAGAAAGTAAAAAATAATGAGATATAATTCTAATTATAAATCACTTGATGTGCTTCTTTTATATTTATGATTGATATTTTTATTATTGATAAAAACGAATTATTGAGAATTATTAAGAACAGAATTTCTTCCCGTTTTTTTCTTAAAGAGTTCACGCTATCTGTTTTTTGTTTATTGCGAATGATTTATTAGACAAAATTCTCAGCATCAAGTATATATCCTCGCGGAAATATTGATGACCACGTTTCGACCCACGTATCTTCGTACTTCACATTCCCGCACCTATTTATACTGCCTTTCTTTCCTGACGATGGTAGTTCCTCGCGTGTCTCGTTAGGCTCTCCTCTCTCGTTTCTCTTTCTTCGTCCATCGATTCCGCCTTCAACGCTCGACGCTTGCGGTGCTCTCCTCCGTCTGGTCGTGCTCACTTCCTTCATTCCGCCACCTTGATTGCAACAAAGCGCAACGTTGTTTCGGTTTCGTGGGATCCCGTTGGAGCTGCCCCGCGGGGGCCTGAGTTTCCGACTCGTCTCGAGCAATCTCCGCGCGATTTTCCGGCCGTCTCACGTCGCTCGGATTCTCTACACCTTAATGTCTACATGCCCACGTTGCATGTACCATTCCTCCCGTGATACCGATGCGGTGTATACGCGATGAGAACGTAGGAATTTGCGAGAAAGTCTGTTGACAATCTGCCTGGTGGCGGAAGCGCACTGCCCGTTCAAGAAATCTAAACGCTGTCTTTTAGATAATCGCCTATTGTGCAAAATCGCACAGGATGCGAGGGCTTTATGTGCATAACGTTTATTCTACTTACTCTTGAAATAACAGCATGCATGACCGTCAATTACTCGACTAAGTATGAAGAACAAAAACAAAACTATCCTTAAGTTTTTCAGAAGTACAGCTGTACTTTTTACATATTTTTAACGTAAACGCTGTTATTTTTGTCGTAAAGATAGCTGCAATGTGCTTCTTCACTTTGGCGAGCGATATTGCTAATAAAATTTCCAAAGATACGTTTAGAAATGTCTGGTTTATAAAATTGAAGAATTTGTAACGTCTAAGGGTAACGATTAAAGAATGTTAGAGTGTTAGTCATTATTGCTAGAAGTGTTCGATTCATTTTGACACGAGCACGAGATCGCGTAAAGCGTGTAAAAATACGTATTGAAAGTTAAACACAAATAGCTAATCCTCTTCCTAGTCATCATCCAATGTTACAAGTCTCTTGGTGTACGAAGTGGGTCTCTCGGTACGTCATCCGAACAACACGCTTCTGCTTCCTCGTCATTGATTCTCCGCGTTCCTCAAGCAGCGGCCAGCTCAAGACTCCCCTTGTTATATCCTCTTCTTTCTCTCCCTCGGTCGTTTCCTTTCCTCTTCCCACGGATTCCCTGCTGGAGAGATCACCGGGTGCCTAACTGTAATCCCGTAGTTGGCGAAGCTGCCGCTTTGTCGCCGATTAGCTGGTCGGGGAGTTGCGCTGAGCCGAGTCGAGCCGAGTCGAGCCGCGCGGTCGCTTAAAAGAGGTGGGACGGAGCAGGAAGAGGAAGCGCAGGAGATCGCGGCGTCGTGCCGCGTTTACGCCCGCCGGGCAAAGAGGTGCAAGTACGACAAACGACCGCGGCCGAAGTTCAAGCGGGTGCTGGCTTCGAGAGAGTCGGATTGGAGAGCATTAACGAGCCCGCGTGTGCACGTTGACGGCCTTTGCGGCCGTTCACGTACGTATTTTCTTCTGCGCTCGCCGCTTTTTCCGCAGCTTATTCTCCGAAGCGGGAATTCCGCGGAAGCGACGACTTGTGCGCGATCGAAATTTCGCGAGATCTAGTTCTCCCTCGATTAGATCTAATCGACGTATGAGACGTTTCGATCAATTAGCGAGCTCGTTGCGTGGACGTTGACTCAATCCGTCGACTTCATTAGGCGTATCCGCATAAATTATCGGAAAATGTTACCACGTCAGGAGAAATCGCCCCGGCTCGATTTACGCCAGGAATCGCAGATTTATAAGGTAGCTCTCCGCGTGGCGCGTACACGGTCGCAGCAGGTGAGCAGAGCGTGTAATAGAATCCTCGAGAGAGGCGTTGAGAATTTATACAGGGTGCTTCGTGAAGTTTGCATTGATCTTTATCGATTTTTCGATACACTTAAAGTAAACGTTTTCCTTACATGAAAATTTGACTCGTACTGTAATTCCGAAGACTTATCTCGGTGATTTAACGTTCAAGAGTAGAGATTTAGAAGGAATGAAGGTTTAGGGGCGCAAACAGTCAATTAGTATTTAATTAGACATATTCCGATAGCATCATAGCGAGACTTAATCGTACAAATATTTAATATTAAAGAAGAATAGCTCGATCGAATGATTCTTAAATCAAAACCTTGATACGAAGTTTATGAAGCGCTCTGTACGAGAAGCGCGATATATCAGCGGGACAGCGGCTGGATATCCTCGTTAAATTAGACGAAGAACGAACGACGACGAGGTCGAGCAGCGGCGTAAATTGCGACACCCCGTATACGTATTTACACGTGCTGTGATTTATGATTTTATGCAGGTCAAACCGTGTCTACGAGTCGTGTGTGTGTGTGCAAGACGATTGCCCGCGCCTCTTCTTCACGGGGTTCAAACTAATGCGCAGATCAAACTGATTCGCCTAACTCAAACTCGAGCACGCCGCATGCTAACCCGTCGTAAGTCTCGTGAAAGCGGTCGGCTGTTTACGACCTCTCGCTCGACGATAAAGTCGTTCACGGCGGCGCACCGCGCCGCGCCGCGCCGCGCCGCGCCGCGCCGTCG